CTGACATTAATGTGGATAGTGGAAGGCTAGTTCCAGGAGTTCCTGGGGGAGCAAGGTCTTTATTAAGAATTGGGGTAGGGGCTATTACAGAACCAGCACATAGAAATCTGAATCAGTGGAGCCAAGTGGAATCTTGACCTGGCAGCTGAACTGGGCAATGTGTAAGCTTCATTGATGTGTTAACTGGTTTTGAAGGCATGAAAGATACAAGACTGACAGCCTGGTTACATAGCAAATTCCAAAAAACACACACACAAAAAAATCAATAAAGAAACAAAAAAACAACCAACCACAGTACATGAGGGGTACCATTTCTCCAAATCGAAATCCTTAAGGATATTTATTTTGTAATAATCATCCTAACACATATGAAGTGCCCATCTCACTGCATCTCACTGTGATCTCGAGTTACATTTTCTAGTGTTAAATGATGTTGAATGTTTCCATAGCTTATTGGTCATTTGCATATCATCTTAAGGTAAATGTCCTTCCAAGTCTTTTTCTTATGTTTTAGTTGTATTGTTTGCCTTATGTTGTTAACTTGGATTCTCAAGAGATAAAGGCATTACATAATGGCAAAAGGATACACTCAACAGCACCATATCACAGTCATAAGTATCTATTCATTTAATATCACAGCTCCCCAATGAAGCAAATGTTTATAGCTAAAGTGAGAAATCCACAGCACCATGGCAATTGAGGAGATTTTAATTCCTTGCTTTTGTTATTTTTATTTAGTTTCTTTAGTTTTTAGATACAGTTCAAGGCTGACCTTGAACTCACAGACATCTACCTGTCCCTGCCTCCGTATTGCAGGGATTAAAGGTATGCTCCCCACACCTGGATCAATTCTTCACTTTCAATAATGGAAAGAACGAACAGATATTAGTAAGGAAACAGGGCTTGGACCTCTACTGTAGACAATTCAGACCCCAAACAATGCATAGAACAACACAACCTATCTTATTTTTCAAGTGTACATAGAATATTTCCCAGGATAGACCTTGCTAAACTATGCAATGCTTAAATAAAGTTAACATTAATACAATATAAATTATCAATGATGAGTAAAAAGGGACTAAACCATAAGCTAATAAACAGGAAGAAAATAGAGAAAGCCACAAGAATATCAAAATTAAATGTCACATTAAAACAAAACCAGTCATTTCTGCCACTCAGCAGCTTTATTGGAATAGGTTGGTTTGTCTCAAAATGACAAGTCCATCCAAGAACCTGTAGGTACTGGTACTGGATGGCACTGGTGAGGAGAAGGGGCTATGGCTTAGAGGAAGAGCATTTGAGTAGCACTCATGGGGATCTGGAAGAAGAGGAAAGGAAAGTCCTTTCTTTTTCAAACAGTAGATGTGATAAATGTCATTCTATGAGTTTATAATCAGCATGTATCAGTAGATTTTATCTTTTCTACTTTTGTTATTTAAAAGCATTATTCTATCATCTATCTATTTTTATTGATTTATTTTTTGAGTATTTATTATTCTTTGTACAGCCCTGGCTGTCCTGGAGCTCACTCTGTAGATCAGGCTGGCCTCAAACTAAGAGACCCACCTGCCTCTACCTCCCTAGTGTTGGGACTAGAGATATGCACCATCATCACTTGGCTGAAAACTATTTTCAAATTACATATATTTTGACTGTATTCTTCCTTTCCCCCAAGTTTGTCCAGACCCTCCCCTTCTCTCTACCCACCCAACTTTAAGTTCTTTCTCAAAAAAACAATCTAAAATGTCAATACAACTACAAATGTCCAAAAACCTAGGAAACAAAATACAACATCATCCAAAAGGAAGATACAAAGACAAGAAACAAACAAACAAAACAACAAACAACTCTAACCAAATAAAAGTACACACACACACACACACACACACACACACACACACACACACACAAAACTGTGGCATCCATTATTTGTAGATCAACTACTTCTGAACAGGTGATGTGCCTGGGAATGCTTGTAATATCCAGGGTAATTTCCATTAGAAAAACAAATTATCCCTCTCCCAGCAGGTATACAAGACAGTTTCATTGTTAACTTGTACCCTAGTGGCTAGGTTTACATTCATTCATTCATTCATTTTTAAAAACCTTAACAACATAAAGCAAAAACTATTACATTGAAGTGAGACAATACAGACAAACAGAAGGAAAAGACCCTGACAGAGGATTCAAGAGTCAAAGATAAACTTGTTCACATGGTCAGGAATCCCGTAAAAACGCTGAACTGAAAACCATGATATAAGCACAGGGACCTGGTGCAGCCCTGTGCAGTCCTGTGCAGCCCTGTGCAGCCCTGTGCAGCCCTGTGCAGCCCTGTGCAGGCCTGTGAATTCCTGTGAGCTTTGCTCATGCTGATGTAGAGAGCCTTGCTTTGTTGGAGTCCTCCATCCCCCCATACCTCCTCACCCTCTCCACAACTCACAACTGTCTGTAACTCTGGTTCTAGTGGATCAGATGCCTCTTCTGGCTTCTGCCAGCAATGCATGTCCATGGTGCACATGCCTATGTCCAGGCAAAACACCCATACACATATGATAAAAGCCAACATTAAAGATGAGGACATATAAAATAACAATAAATCTTTAAACTGAAGGAAAAAAAACTTAGTAAAATAAACACTGAATCAGACATTCCCTTCTCATGATGGTTCCTGAGACTTAGGAGCAGGGAATATGATATAGATGTCCCATATGTGGAATAATTGTTGTAAATCTGCCATATAGTTCAATTGTATCTTTTGATTGGAGGCAGTACTTTCAGCTAGGAGATATTCTTCTAACAGAGGGTAGAACACCAAATTTTGCTGGGTGTCTGAAAATCTGTGTCTCATCATCAGAGAAGGTGATGGTGACTTTCAGTTCATGCAAAAGGTTTTGACCCAATCAGTTCTCTGTTGTTAAACACCTTTGACCTATCTCCAGGAACTGGGACTTATTTATACTTTTCTTTTTTTTTTCACTTTTATACTTTTTTCTAAGATCTGGGGCCAACTGGGTAACAAAGGAAATCATTTTAGCAGTTGTCTTTAATCTTCCTAAAATTACATATTGAAAATTGTTTCAAGTCTCCTTGGTCAGTTTTGGAAAGAAGAGAAAATCCATTTTGATCAAACTGTGTTATCTGGCAGGGATCCCCCTGATTCACCTTGGAGTTGTCTTTCTTCCTTCCTTCCTTCCTTCCTTCCTTCCTTCCTTCCTTCCTTCCTTCCTTTCTTTCTTTCTTTCTTTCTTTCTTCCTTTCTTCCTTTCTTCTTCCCTCCCTCCCTCCCTCCCTCTCTGTCTCTGTCTCTGTCTCTGTCTCTCTCTCTGTCTCTGTCTCTGTCTCTCTCTCTCTCTCTCTCTCTCTCTCTCTCTTTCTTTCTTTCTTTTTCTTCAGAGAATGGTGAGTTTTGAGTTTTCCAGTTATATGGACCATTAGTTGAAAACAAGACATAAATCATGAGAGAGAAAGGAGTGGAACTTTCCCTTTTTCTTTGGGTTCAGCTCAGGGGACATTTCCCCTTCCCCGGGGCTACTTAGATCAGACATTTTTGGAGCCCATTTTAGGTTTCCTGGTGGCTTTACCCAGCAGGTCTGCATAAAGAAGATGATTGGACCACGGGCCTGAGTACAAGTGTCTGAGATAGTCTGCACTTGGCTATGCTGGGGAGGTTTCTGCTCTACCCCTTGGCATTCTTTTAAAAACCCTTTGGCAAACAGAGTCAGAGCCCAGTGGATTAGGACCTAGGCCCTCTCGAGGCTATCCTGTATTTTCTATCGTTTTCTCTCCAATCTGTTCTTCTAACTAATATTTCCTACTGCTTCTACTCAAGAGTACTCTGGGGAAATGTCAGGGTGGGGAATGGCCCCCCACAGGACATGGAGTGGAGGGAATGCTCACCTGAGAACTATTTCCCCCTCCCTGTGTGCATTAACTTAGATGGCAGAGGGCCCTGAATGAGAAGCCTGGCCCCTCCTCACCTCCACACAGAGACCAACCCTGACCATGAGCAGGAGTCAAGCAATGAGCCAAGCAAGTGCTCCCACTCAGGGAGGACGGAGAGGGTCCTTATTTCTGTTGTTTTGTTTGTTTTGTCTCTGGGTGACTTGGAAGAACCCAAAAAAGATTTGGGCCCCCAATAGGAAGGACACAGGTCTTAAACCAGGGGATTCTCATATCAGAGAACGTCACCGACCAATACAGAGAAACAGAACTGACAGAAACACACAGACAGACAGAGAGACAGACACATACACACAGACACAGACACACACATACACACATACACACACACACACACACACACACACACACACACACACACACACAGAGAGAGAGAGTTAAGACAACCAGTGTGACCAACATACACTCATACACCTGAACAGACAGGGAATCAAGTGAGGTCTCACAGATTCCCGACAGTGGACCAGTGGCCTTGTCAGACCGCTCCTGTGTGACCAAAGAGAAGGCTCCTTACCCAGACTCACCTCTAGATATGATAGGACCAGGTGACTTTCTAATTTGTTTCCTTTTTGGGATGGAGACGTCAGACTCCTCTGAAGCATTAGGCAGCAATTTACCAAAGAGTATGTCAGGACCCTGAACTCAGGTCGCACACCCCTTAGGACAGTGGATATCAACCTTCCTAATGCTGTGACCCTTTAACACAGTTCTCATATTGTGGTGACCAGAACCATAAAATTATTGTTGTTGCTCCTTCATAACTGGAATTTGCTACTGATATAATTATAATGTAAATGTCTGGTATGCAGCAAATCCAATGTGTGACCCATTTAAAAGGCCCTTCAAACTGAAAAGGGTTGAGACCCACAGGTTGAGGACCACTGCCCTAGGATCTCCTTGACTACCACATTCTTTCTCATTCCAAGGGACTCTGAGACCTCTGGTATCTTCAAGTCTTGTTCTAGGATGTCCTTGGGACTTCCAGAAATGTTGTGGGGAACTCACCAGAGAAGAATTTTCAGACACAGATTTATGTTAATAGAAACTTTTTATTAGCTGGTTAGCTAACTACATTGGGTATTTGGGATCCCTGTGTAGCACCTACCCTCAGGTAGAGCTTTTAAGCACAAAACCCCATGCTTTGGGTTGACATACTTCAGTTAACAAGAACAGTTAGCCAGAAGTGGAAATACAGAAGTCAAAAGTCAAGGTTAGTACATTCAGAGACTACCCTAACTATGGACTGGGATGGATCAGGTCTTTGTTTCAGTTTTGGCAGATGATGCTGTCTATGTGCTGAGTTTTACCTCTTGAATGGCTCTTTCATGATGGAGTCAGCTGTGCTAAGGTCTGGGGCCCTGTTACAGTTATTAGTGACTTCTATTAAACAACTATTTCCCAATTTCCATGTTCTGTGATTAGCTGTTACAGGTTTCCTTTAGCGACACCTGAGATATTTGATTATTGCCAGTTATATATGCAGGTGGAAAAACTTCACACTCCCACTAAGGGGATCTGGTTATCCTGTTTCTTATGCTAAGGAGGGGTACATAATCACGTTCTTTTCCAGATGTTGAGTTACATGTTAAGAGCAAAATACATCCAGGGAGCACCAAGGAAACAGCACAAGGTGATAAGAAGGGCCCAAGTGACAGCACAGAGTGAAGGATCGTGACACACACTGTGTCGGCAGCATCATGATTCATCTGGTTGAGGCCGGTGAGAGGGAGAGTGGCTGGATCAGATGAATAATTCTCACGACCTTCTCTGGAGCATCTTCAACCTACAGCAAGGGAACAGGTCTATTGAAGGGTCTGAGGACAGCCTGGGTCAGTTCCCCGGGTGCCCTGTACCAGTCATCTCCACCCCACAGTCACCCTCACTGAGGTCATCCAGTTCCCTCCTCCATCACTCCTGGGCTCTGCATCCCTGGAGCCTCTACTGTCTTCCTCCCTTCTTCCCCGTGTCCCAGAGTCAGCCCCAGGCCCTGCTGCAGACCTGAAGTTCAGAATAAAGTGGTGATGGCTGGCTCTGCTTCCTGACTCTGGGCCAGATGGGAGGGGCCCAAGGAGGAGGGAGGAACCCGATCCAAAATAGCCTTTGGACCTGGTTATCCAGGACTAGAGTGGCGTTCCAGACATGCTTTCTCTTTCATTCTGAAACTCAAAATCTGAGAGTGGCATCACAGCTGTGGATGTGACTCTCCCTGCCCCACCTTGTCCACCTGGGCAGTCCAGATGGGAGCAGTGGACTCCAGCAGCAGCTCAGTCCCACCTGCCTCCAGTGTGGACACTGCTCCAGGGGTTCTGGAGGATGCTGCTGCTTGATTTATTTCTATTTTATGTGTATGAGTGTGAGCCTGCATGTCTGTAAGTGCACTGTGGGAATGCCTGGGGTCTGTGCAGAAGAAGAGGCTGGATCCCCTGGACCTGCAGCTATATGGTGGTGAGCTGCCATGTGGGTGCTGGGAATGGAACCCAGGTCTAGTGGATGAGTAGCATGTGGTCTTGCCACTGGGCCGTCTCTTTATTTATATCTGCTTTATCTTTGTCTGTGGGATGGAATCTTCTTCCCTCTATACATTGAGTGGAACTATCATGTTCTTCTTTTGTGCTCCTGCTGTCTCCACAATGCATCATGGGACCCTCCTGATTAGGAACCTGCTGTGTTCCCTCCTCATTTCCCACTGGTCTGTGACATGATTCCTGTCCTGTCAAGGCTGAGCATGCACAATCTATTGCTATTAGGTGACATGAACTCCAGATCTCCTGCCTCCTTTCTCAACATAATGCTGCAGTGAGGGACAAGAGCATGACTCTAGCAATTCCCTCTTGCTTCCTCACTTCTCAACCATCTGTCCCTTACACCACTTCCCGTACTGCCCTCAGTACCTGTCTTCACAAATATTATAAAAGTAACAGGAGGGAGCAGGTGAGGATCAGCAGCAGGACAGAGATGTTGGACTTGCTTGCCAAGGACGGAGGTTTGTTCACATCCGGAGCAGCAATTGGCGAGGCTGAAGTGGAAATACAAGTTGAGTCTTTGACCAGGAACTTAAATCTGGGGAAATCTCACCTTAGCTTCTGGGTGCTCAGGTGATTCAGCAACACAGAGTTCCACCCCTTTCCCTTGTTGCTAGGCAACAACTGTTTGGGTGGGTCCTGAGTAGGAAGGGAGAGAGGTTATGTCCCCTGTCCTCAAAAGATTCCTCCAGCTATGGTAGGGGAAGCAGGGTAATGATGGGGCCACATCTTTCCTGCTGGCAGGAGAGGAGCTGACCTGTGAGGATGGTGGCAGGGAAGAAGAAATTTCAGGTGAGATGAAAAGCAGCAGAGAGTCTAGAATGAGGAAAAGGCCAACAAATAGAAGTTTGCTCAGACTGTGACAGCCTGTGAGAACCACAGTGAGAGAACAATGTAAACACAACTAAGGAGATAGGAGAGGGCGAGAAATGAAATGATTGACGGAAAAAACGGCCATCATCCCCAGAACTCATGGTGATTACATTATTACACACACACACACACACACACACACACACACACACACACACACACACACACACACACACACACACCCTGATCTGCAGAGAGCTTCCTGCCCTTCTTCCCAGTTACCTGTAGGCTCCAGCTTTTCTTCCCAGTGTGACTTGAACTCCTCAAGCCAGGACCTGCAGTCCCCCCGTGAGGTCCTGTATAAGAAGTCAGTTACTTCCTCGTCTTTCTCCAACAAACTTTTCATCTGGCTGGATTCAGAATCAACTTCAGTCAACTTTCCAGTGCTTGAGTCAAAATGCAACATTTTCTGTCCACTGAGGCCAAAGTCCCAGGATCCACGGAAATCTCCATTTACTTCATACCCACAACGCATCGTGGCCTGCAGAGTGAGGGGCTCTGTGCCCATTGGAAAGAGATCAGCCTCTGGCCTTGATGAATCCTGTCTGCCTACCCACCTCCCTTCCCATCCTCTGACTTGCTCTGCCCTCCTTGCTACTGGACCTCTTTGGTAGGACTACCTGTGATTTATTTTCTTCCTCCATGAAAACAATGGATGTCCCTAACCTATCACAAATCCTATTCTTTCCTTCAAGGAATCATCTGCTATGTTCTTTATTTAATTTGTAGCAGTGGGGATTGAACCCAGGGCCTCATATATGCTAGACAAGCACTCTACCACTGAGCTACATCCCCAGCACTAGGGGGCCATTTGAAACTTACTTCTCATTGTATTAGTCTCTAACTTTATGTCAACCATTTCTGCTTTCAACAGGTCAACTCCATCTTTCAGAATGTCAACCTGTGGTTGCCAGATCTTTGTGGCACTCAGTCTGTTTCCCAGAAGACCAATGGCATGGCAGTTGTGGGTAATGTCACAATAAATAAAATCCCTTCTATTCAGTTTGCCTTCAATTTCGTGCCACCATGCTCCAGACCCTGAGTTGCCAACAGTGAAGCTGTAGCTAAGAGAAGCAGCGTCTGTGAAGGAAACATGCAGTGAGGTTAGGATGTGGAGCAGGGCCTCAGACACAGTCTCTGCCTCTGGAACAAGAAAGTCCTCTGCAAGGGTAACTTTTTTTAAAGAGAGAAATAAGTAAAAAAATCAAATCCCAAAGTGAGCTTCCACTGTGCTAAGTAAAGCATAGCCATGCTCTCTTGTTTGAAGATGTAGATCTGGGTTTGGTCAATTCCTGCTCTCCATCAGGAAAATTCTGTTATCTGTTATCTCATGCTTTTGCTAGGGGTAGGCACTGTCAGTTATGGCAAGAAAAGTTCAGGATGTCTTTTCCAGATCTGTTTGTTCTGGAGAATCTCCAGAATCTGCCCATGTTGACTGTGTGGAAACAAGATGGTGTGAGAGGCTGGTGGACAGAGTGGAACAGGGTGAGGATGGAACAGAAGTTTCATGGGACAGTTTTTCCTGATCTGTACTCTCAGGTCATAGACTTGGACATCTTTGCTGATTAGCTTTAACTGTTAGTTTGATAACAGCCTAGAGTCACCTAAGAAGGGAGTGTCTATTGAAGGACTGTTTTGACTGTCGATGATGTAGGAATACCCAGCCACTGTGGGCATTACCCTTCCCCTGGGCAGGTGGTCTCTGGTTGGATAAGAAATCTAGCTCACTGGGCAGTGGTGGCACACGCCTTTAATCCCAGCACTCGGGAGGCAGAGGCAGGTGGATCTTTGTGAGTTCGAGGCCAGCCTGGTCTATAGAGTGAGATCCAGGAAAGGCGCAAAGCTACATAGAGAAACCCTGTCTCAAAACCCCCCTCCCCCCAAAAAAAGAAATCTAGCTATATAGGAGCTAGTGATTCAGACAGCAAAGAGCATCCTCCCTGGTTCCTGCTATTCCTCTATGGCTGTGAATAAGTTCCTTGGCCATAGATAATGCTGTGTGGGACAGCTAGTCGGCCTGCTTCTGAGTCTTACCCTGACTTCCCTCAGTGACAGACAAGCTTAGAAATAGAAGTCAAATAAATCAGTTTTTCCCTTACGTTGCTCTCAATAGTGTTTTATCATATTAAAAGAATAATTCTAGAACAACACATGTCAGATCCCTGAACATATGGCAGTGCTCCAGGGATGGCTTCATAGAATTGGTCAGAGGATAGTCCATACTACAGGATAAAGAAAATCTAGGCTGGTTAAATCTGGTAGTAGAAGAGTGGTGATCAAAAATCTCAGAGAAGTGCATGTGCCAGAGTGGATGTATCAGCAATCATTTCCAGGGGGAGTGAGCAGAGACCATCCTGCTCTGTGGGATGCTGGAGCACCCCTGTGGAGAAGCACAGTGAGCATGACCAGGGAGAAGACACCAGCATTGCTGGGAGCACAGAGATGATGGTGGCTCAAGGCTGGGGTGGTGTGAGAAAACTATTTCTAACTTGACATCCCGGCAGCATGGTACAGAAAATCCCGTCAGGTGGAGTGGTCAGGAGGCAGTAACATCAAGGGCAGTGATCCATTGATGAGGAAGGGGGACCCACCTGGAAGCCTAACTGCTTAAGGGGCTCATGGCTAACAGAACACAAAAATCCTAAATAGAGATAGATGGTTAGCCAACTCAGATGTGGCTGGATTTTAATAATTAAAGACAGAACAGATGATCAAGAAGCTGAGAGCTGCTGTCCATGAAAACCCCAGGCTCCTGTGCCCAGTGTCTAAACTGAACCATTGGGGCTAGAGAGGTGGTGCAGTGGTTAAGGACACTTGTTCCTCTTGCAGAGGATCCAGGTTAGATTCTCAGCAACTATACATGGTGGCTCACCACTGCCTGTAACTCCAGTTCCATGAGATCCAATGTCCTCTTCTGACCTCTGAGAGCACCAGGCATACATGTGGTGCACGTACATACATACATACATACATACATACATTCAGTCAAAACATAGATCAATAAAACAATTAAAACTAAACCACTTCAGTGCTGTGGGATGTTCTGTATGCTGTGAATATGTTGCTCTGATTGGTTGATAAATAAAGGCTGATTGCCCAGTAGCCAGGCAGGAAGTATAGGTGGAATAAGAAGACAAGGAGAATTCTGGAAAAAGAAAGGCTGAGTCAGAAGATGCCAGTCCACCATCCAGGGAGCAGCATGGAATGGCATACAGGTAAAGCCACGGAACACATGACAACATATAGATTAAGAGAAATGGGCTGAGTTTAAGTGTAAGAGCTAGTCAGTGTAAATCTGAGTTAATGGCCAAGCAGTTTTAATTAATATAAGACTCTGTGTGTTTACTTGGGTCTGAGCAGCTGCGGACCAGGCAGAACACAAGAGAAAAACTTTAACTACACTTTAAAGACAGACCCAGATTTAATTCCTAGGGGGACAGATCAGGTCCCAACAAGAGTGACCATTCAGTCCTGTGTCAAGTATAATCATTCTTTTGTATCACTTCATTACTGCCCTGTCACTCAGGGATGAACCACGAGATGCTCCGGTGAATGTCTAATGTGGTGGTTTGAATGAGCCTGTCCTCTATAGAGTAGGATGTCTGAACACTTGGTCCCCAATTGGTGGCAGCTGTTTGGATAGGTTTAGGAGGTAAGGCCTGGCTGAAGGAAGAATGTCACTGGAGGTGTGGCTTTAAAACCCATTCCCATTTCTTCATCTCTGGACCTTGCTTGAGGTTTAAGATGTGGGCTCTCAGCTGGGCATGGTGTCAAATGCCTCTCATCCCACCACTTAACAGTCAGGGCCAGATTGATCTTTATGAGTTTTGAGGCCAACCTGTTCTACATAGTGAGTTCTAGGACCGTTGGAACCATAAAGTGAGACTTTGTCTCAAAAAGCCAAACCTAACAAAATCAAACCAAACCACACTAAAAATACATGAGTTCTCAGCTTGCTGTTCTAGCCACCATGCATGCCCATTGCCATGCCTCTCTGCTGTGAGGTGATAGATTCTTGTCCCTCTGAAAGCATAAGCTTCTTCAAAAACCCTTCCTTCTGTATGTTACCTTTGGTTGTGGTGCTTTATCATAGCAACAGAAAAGTAACAAATACAGATATCTGGTCAATACCAAAGGTCTTTGCAGGTCAGACAGTCTCAGTTACACCTGCTCAACTCTGCCTTTGTAGCTTAAAAACAGCCAAAGATAATACATCCACGAAGAGCATTGCTATGGAATTATCATTTTGTACATTGTGAAGATGTGTCTTTGCCAAGGCACCTTCTTATTGGTTTAAAAAAGTTAGACATATATTAGCTAGGCAGGAGGTATAGTGGGGCAGCTAGACACAGAGGACTCAGGGAAGAAGAAAGGCAGGGTCTCCAGGAGACATCAGAACTCAGAGGAAGCAGCATGGGCAGTACAGAGTAAAGGTATATAGGCATGAGGCAGAAGGTAAATTAATAGAAATGGGTTAATTTAAGTTAAAAGAGCTAGTTGGAAACAAGCCTAAGCTATCAGCCAAGCTTTCATAAGTAATAAGTGTGGGGGATCTCCCCTGGAGCTGCCCTCTCCAGACCCCACCCTCAGAATGCCAAGGGTCAGTCCCTCCACTGGGGCTTCTCAAGACCATGCCAACAGGATATTGAAGACCTGGTCACCAGATCTGCCCTGGCTCTCCCTCCTGCCTTCCCAAGAGTCATCCAGGAGTTGCTTCCCTCTGTTTATTAAGCCTAGACTTATTAATTTGGCTAGATTGGCTTATGACATTGGTGGAGCATACCCAATAACTGGGGTTCCAATCTGCCCTGTGCTCTCCCTCCTGCCTTCCTAGGAGTTGCTTTGTTGTTTATTAAACCTGGTCTTTTTAATTCAGCTTGCTTGGCTTAATGCATCCCCAGAGGATACCCAAAAACTGAGGATTCAATACTTATCAATAAGAAATCTCAGTGTGGTTATTTGTGACTCTGGCAGGTGGGACAGAAAACACATCTACAGAACATGGCTGGACCTGTCTATAAGGCCCTGTGACCCAGAACCCAGGGTTGTCTTAAGCTAATTGATGTTAGAATACCCAGCTCAGTCCCTAGGCAGCATCATTTCCAGTTAGGGAATGCTGAACTATGTGAGATGGGAGCAACTGACCTGAACAAGCGGAAAGGTAACGTGGGTACATTTCTCTTTCTCTGATCTTGATTATAAATGTGATGATTTCAGTTCCTACTTACTTTCTTCAATAATGGAGTATAACCTGGAATATATATATATATAGTCTTTTTAAAAAAAATTCCTACAAGTTGCTTTTGGTCATGGTGTTTTCGTCATAGTAACGGAAATGAAATCAGGCAGAAATTGGTCTCAGAGAAGTGGGGCTACTTCTGTGATGACCTGACTGTGGTGATTTAGGGATGAACTGGGGGGAGTCTTTTGAATTTTTTGACTGGAAACACTACTGAACACTCTCTCAGAGTTTAATGGGCCATTCTTGTGGGTCCTTGGAAAAGAAGAATTCTGACATTAACATGGATAGTGTAAGGCCAATTCCAGAGGTTTCATGGGGGAGCCAGGGCTTTATGAAGAATTGGGATGGGGCTATTCATGTGCGATTTGGGCTAAGAATTGCTGTTGCCTGATCTGGCTAGGGCTGAGAATCATCTGTGGTTAATAAGAGAGCAGCACCATTGAGGACAATCGGTGTAGAGAACAAAGAACCTTGTGTACACAGATAAGCCCTGGAGAAGCATGGAAGAAAGTTTAACACACAGTTCACCTCTGCAAAGGAATGAGGTGCACAGCTGCTCTTCCTGGAACTAGGAATGATGTCATTTTTATGACCTGGTGATCCCTTGCTGTCTGTTGAGACAGGCTCTGCCTTATCTCCCAGAATTAATGCTATTACTAATCCAAGACCTTTCCCCCTAAGTCTTGAACATCGCCTTTAGACCATAAACCCACTCTATGAGTGATGTCACCTGTGCTTTACAGCAGCCTAAGTGACTTCTATGCTACCTTAGGGCCAGAATAATCCCAACACCCACAGGTGGTATGGTCGCCTCAGTCAAACTCCCTAGACCCTACATCTTGGACACTATCTCTGAGTCAACAGTATCCATTCTTATGAAAGAAGCCAGATAGACTTTGTAAGGAATCTCAATGTAAACATATCTTAAATTGTTGTGCACTTTGGGACTGAGTTAATTGTTATCTGAATACTTTTTCCAAATTGAGTCTGTGCTTAAATATGGCTAAGGTAGGATGATCTGGGTCAGACTCTAGAAGTCCTGCTCCAGTGCCAGTTAAAATAAAATTGGGCTGAGCCAAGTTTCATTCTTGTCTTCGTAGATCATCTTTCCCCTGCCTGCTGTAAAGTCTGCAGGGGAATCACCACGAAAATGAAAATATTTCCCCAGATCCAGCACATAGCAATCTGGATCAGTGGGACCAGGTGGCATCTTGACCTGGCAGCTGAACTTGTAGGGGATGAGAAAGATAGTTTGCAGAGTGCACAAAGCCTGGGTGCAGGAGTCTGTCTGCTGACTTCCAGAGGGATCACACCCTTTGCCCATTACATCCAGTCACGGCACTCTTCAGTGATTTCTAGAGTTTTCCTGGTCCTGCCTGGCCCACAATCAGAACAAATCTCTCTCACCTGCCAGTCTGTAGCCACTCAGACCCAACCAAGTAAACACACAGAGACTTACATTACTTATAAGGCCGTGGCAGGCTTCTTGCTAACTGTTCTTATATCTTAAATTAACCCATTTCTATTAGTCTATAAGTTGCCACGTGGCTCGTGGCTTATTGGTATCTTACATCATGCTTCTCCTCGTGGCAGCTGGCAGAGTCTCTCTCCTCAGCCTTCTCCCACCCAGCATTCTCCTCTCTCCTTGTCCTGCCTACACTATCCTTCCTGCCTGGCCACTGGTCAATCAACATTTTATTTATCAACCAATCACAGCAACATATATTCACAGCATACAGGACATCCCACAGCCGGACGAGAAAGATAGTTCGCAGAGTGCACAAAGCCTGGGTACAGGAGTCTGTCTGCTGACTTTCTAGATGGATCACACCCATTGCCCATCACATCCTGTCACAGCACTGTTCAGTGATTTCTATCCGCCATCTTGATTGTTCATTTCTTCTAGCCCTGCCTCCTACTCTGCAGCAACTAATTTCCATTAGTCTTCGGTTCCTCTACAAGTCCTGGAACGGTGTAGGGTGAGGTCAAGAACAAGCCTGGAGACCCAGAAGGAGCCCACAGAAGTGGTGGGTAGCTGAAGAGGGCCAGGACCGGTTCTACAAGGAAGACTGGCCCTCCTAGTCACTGTGGCTCTAAGTCTACACTTCTCCCCCTCATCCCCCCCCCCATTAGATCCCAGGAACTCACCTGAGGGAGGAGGTGTGCATTGACAACCCTTCAGGACCACGAGGAGCAGAATCAAAGCCAGAACATAATGAGAAATGAACTTGATAACTGCAATTTGGATCATGAATCCTTATTCCATTCCTGGCTGGCAGCAGCCATGACTTGAACTGGAGAGAGAGAGAGAGAGAGAGAGAGAGAGAGAGAGAGAGAGGAGAGAAGGACAGGGAGAGGGAGGAGAAAGAAGAGAGGAGAGAGCAGAGAGAGGAGAGAGAGGAGAGAGAGGAGAGAGAGAGAGAACACTTAAATAATTCTTGAGGTTGACTGTAGATTGCTTCAGATACTTGGGCTGTGAGTTCAAGCAATTGCCTGCCATCTCTGTCTCCAGCACCATCTTTTCCTAGAACTCTTCAGGGGTGGGGAGGTCTCTCCAGGTTCCCTGAGGCTCAGTCCGATTCTTTGCAGAACTTGATGGTTCTTTTCTATCCAACTCCGGCAGCAAACTATACACTGCCTGGCACAGATCTCCGATATCTCCGGGTCCTTCCAGGGACTGAGGTCCCTTCCCAGAACTCACCTGCCCGGGAACTGTCACCAGCAGAAGCAGGAAGGAAAGAATAAAGCTGGAGCCTCCCGCGGGGGTCACTTATATCCTGAGAGGGAATCAGGAGATGGGTGGGTAGGTGATGACTGGGCAGGATGTCTCCCCGCCCAGTCTGGCCGAGTGCCCAGTTTTGTTTTTCTCCTCGGTTCAACACTGTTTTTTTTTTTTTTTTTTTTTTCCGCCTCCTTGCCCAAACCTGCATATTCACCCTCAGAAGAAAGACAAGTCGGCTTGTTTTATTTCTGTTTTTAAAACCTCCTAGAAGGTCTCGTCCCAAATACTGGCCCATCTGAAATCGCCATGAGTAAAGACAGTTGTTACTGTACTGTTACACCGCTGTTCATTTATAGTAAACTCAGAAATCTAAGACCTTCAGAAAAGTGTGTGTGGAGTCCAGAGATTTCCTCAGGTCCTGACCTTGGAACCTGCCTACTGCAGCCAGCGGAACCCCGGAATCTGCCTATCTCTCTTTCCTAACACTCACTTCCAAGTGCACAACACCTACCTGGTGGCTTCTAAATTATAAATATTTACTATTTGGAACGTGAGTTCTGGGGACCAAGCTCAGGTCTTCAGGCTTGCTAGGCAAACACTTTAATAACTAAGCTGTCTGCACCCCAGCTTGGGTTTCCCTTTCCTTAAGATTTCCTCTTCAGTGGTTTTTACAACCATAATGTCCCTCCAGCCATTCATGCATCCGCCCAGCTAACAGTTAAATGCCAGATAAACAACCTCAAGTGAATGTCTGAGGCTGGTGTGGTGTTGAGTGGGAGTGAAATGATCACACCTACATCTGGAGTCTGAGAAGTCTCAGGCTTTGGTGGGCAGGCCCTGGTCTATGTTTTTTCTCATCACCACTTAGGGATTTTCAATCTGACCAAGTGGTCATGGACAGGATAGTGTCCCGGCTCTAATAATGAGAAACTGGGGCCTGTGATATCACAGAAGGCTAGACTAATTACCAAGTCAGTCACTTGCATAAATGAGAACACACCAGGGTCACTTGCATAATCTGGTTAACCCCATTCATGCCACCAGGAAAGTTTCACCTTTAACACTTGGGGATCGAGCAGGGAAAGTTTTTCAACTGCCACATGCATTTTAAATGCTTAAATTTCTGAAAGCCATAACTGTAGCCCACACTCATTAAAATCAACTCTGGGACTGAGTCCATGACCACCTGGAGACTCACCCCTGTTACTGTTTTCCCAGGGACCTGCTGGTTTCACAACCTTGGACTGCCAAGCCCTTCACCCTAGGTGGAGACACAGCTTCCCACTGTTCCCACCATCCTCAGGAATCCCTCACCCTTCAGAGAGCTCTGCTGAGCAAAGCCAGATCTTGACTTCACCACAGAAGAGAATTGCAGAATGAGTGAGTCTGGAGCAGAGTCGGAGTTAGTTAAAAAGATTCAGAACACGGAAGTCAAAAGAAAGAGGCACCTGGGCCGGAGGGGGGCGGGGGTCAGACCTGAGGATGTGGGTGTGGTCTTCTGAAACTAGTAAGTGTTGCCACATTCACACTTCAACAGGTGACTAAGGAACTGTTTTTGGTAAATGAATTCATGATGTGGTTCCTGAGTTCACTGGATGGAATTTAAGCTGGTAGGTAAAAGCCTACCCAGGTGAGAAGAAGGGCAGGGCAAGTGCTATTTTTTTAATGTAAATAAAGTTTTACTCGCGCTTGTGGGAGTCCCAGAAATACCGGGAAAGGAGTCAGGCCATGGAAGGTCCTTTAGCTTGGGCTTGGAGCATGGCTCATTGCCAGTCTACCATTTGAATTTGAAAACATCTCTCTATAAAAGACATACTGTCTCTATCAGCAACCTCCACAGCAAGTGCTGATTGAGATGGGATTCACGACTGTCATCTGGTGAGAGGCCTCAAGCTCATTTTTTCCCTTCCGGAGACTCTTTAGGTTTTTGTTTGTCTGTTTGTTTTGTTGTTGTTGTTTTTTTCCCCCTCTCTGTCTGTATACTGCCTCCTCCGGAGTTGGCCTCTGCTCCGGGATGAACACAAGGCCCTGTCCACAGTCTTATGTACAGCAATGTCTTCCGGACAGACAGATCACCAGGCAGCTCTGATCAGCTCACACTTGAGACTTGGATCCATGTGTTTCCTGCTGTTCTCCGCCAGATGGCCCTCCAGGATAGAGAGGAGCTAGAGGATCAGGGCAGAAATGTCTGTGCTTGGAATCTAAGGAGTTCAGAGTGCAGCTGTTTTGGGTCCCTGAGTAGAGCAGGGTCCAGGGCTCACAGTACAGGCCTTCCTCATTTTCCCATTAGCTGAGGATCCTCCCTTTGTAGCAATTGTGGGAAGAGTGTGGGCACTTTGAGGGGCTGGGGAGGGTGGGGAGTCCAGTCTACTTTTTTCAACTAATGGGGAAATGGCTCAGTGGATGGGCATATCGTAGGTCTCAGGGGTTCTTCCTAGTCCTCAGTTCAAACTAAGATCTCCCTAGAATCCAGAGGCCACTGAGCCTCTACTCCTTCTTATATTTCTCCTGCTTCCTGTATGGTGGCTGATGTAGGACATGCTTGTCGTCCTTTGGAGGATGGCAGCAGTGACCACAGGGATGAACTGAATGGTTCCATGTCTTAGCTATTGTGAATACTGCAGCAGTAAACGTGGATGTGCAAACATCTCAGTGGCAGGACTTAGATAATTTGGATATATGCTCAGGAGTGGTATCCCTAGGTTGTACTTTTAGTTTCTTGAGAGCCCTACACACTGATTTCCACAGTGGCTGAGTCAGTCTACAGTTCAACCAGCACCTAATCAGGCTCCTCTTTCCTCATAGCCTCACAGTTAGCATTTGTTATTGTTTGCTTTCTCATGACAACCAGAGTGGGAAGTACTGTCAGGAAGGTTTAATTTGCGTTTCCTGAAGGCTGAGGATGTGGAACACCTTTTCAGATGTTTATTGCTCCTTTGTGGTTCTTTGTTTTGGAACTGTCTGTTCAGTTCATTGATTCATTCATTAATTAGAAGGGGTGTATGTGTGTGTGTGTGTGTGTGTGTGTGTGTGTGTGTGTGTATGTGTATGTGTGTGTGTGTGTGTGTGTGTATGTGTGTGTGTGTGTGTGTGTGGTGTGTATGTGTGTGAGTCTGTGTATGTATGTGTGTGTATATGTGTATGTGTGTGTATGAGTGTGGTTTATGTAGTTGTTTATACATTCAGACTTCAGCCCCTTGTCTGTGGTGTAGGTGGCAAGAATCCTCTGCTCTGTGGCTTTCTATACATTCTGCTGGGTGTTTCCTTCGCTCTGGGGAAGTTTATTAATTTCCAGCAACCTCACTTTGCCATCTCTACATGGCGAATATGCCTTAGAAAACGACCCTTATTTTCTGTGGTATTTCAAACCTTTTTCAAGAACTCCTTGTCTATGCTTGTTTCTCATTGTGCCTACATTTTTTCCTCTGACAGTTCCAAAGTTTCAGGTGTTATCGAAAGGTCTTTGGCACATTTCTAATTGATTTCTATGCAGCATGAGAGATTCTGTCCTTTGTCTTAATGTGTAGAGTTCCGTAGCAGGAGTTTTCCTGCCTGGCCCACAGTCAGGACAAATCTCTGTCACCTGCCAGTCCCACAGCCGCTCAGACCCAACCAAGTAAACACAGAGACTTACTTATATTGCTTACAAACTGTATGGCCATGGCAGGCTTCTTGCTAACTGTTCTTATATCTTAAATTAATCCATTTCTATAAATCTGTACCTTGCCACGTGGCTCGTGGCTTACTGGCATCTTCACATGCTGCTTGTCATGGTGGCAGCTGGCAATGTCTCCCTCAACCTTCCACTTCCCAGAATTCTCCTGTTTCCTTGTCCAGCCTATACTTCCTGCCTGGCCACTGGCCAATCAGTGTTTTATTTATACAGAACGATATCCACAGCAAAGTTCTTTTGTCAACCCATATGTGGCATATAACATGGGCAAGCATACCTTATTAACAATAAGTTTTTAAACCTGTTAATATATAATAGGATTTTTATTTATTTGTGACAGATATAACCCTTTATACTATTATTAAAGTTTTTTCCACAATTTTGTATATGGGGAGTGTAGCTAGAGTTTTCCTGCCTGGCCCACAGTCAGGACAAATCTCTCTCACCTGCCAGTCCCACAGCCGTCAGACCCAACCAAGTAAACACAGAGACTTATATTGGTTACAAACTGTATGGCTGTGGCAGGCTTCTTGCTAACTGTTCTTACAGCTTAAATTAATCCATTTCTATGAATCTATACCTTGCCACGTGGCTTGTGGCTTACCGGTACTTTACATCTTCCTTGTCCTGATGGCGGCTGGCAGTGTCTCTCTCACCCAGCTTCCTGTTCTCTCAATTCTCCTCTCTCTTAGTCCCGCCTATACTTCCTGCCTCGCCACTGACCAATCAGTGATTTATTCATTGACCAATCAACAACACATTTGACATACAGACCATCCCACAGCAGGTGAGGGGAGGCAACCCAATGTAAAACATATTTAAAAAAATTCCCCACTGTAATTATTTATAAGCATTCAATAAATATTTTTTGGTATTTATATCTGCAATAAAACAGC